ACAATCATACAATCACACAATACACGTGTACGAGTATAGATAATATATTATTGTATATTATAATTATTTTCATTTTTTCAACAAGATCACGGTGCCAATTCAATAAATAATATTATATTCAATAAAAATATATTACATAATATTCTTATTGTGTAATAAACAATGCCTACTAATTGGTCTAAGCTATATTTAGTTTTAATATGAAGAATCCTTTTATTATCTCAATAATTTCGAAAGTCAGCGTGACCTTTTCGCTGCGAAAGTCGTCTTGTAGACATGATATAGATAAAAATCGTCGCCGCGCACTAATTCGATAAAAATTTGTTGAAAGAAAGGAGCCGATATTACCAGGCAAAAATGTATAATCTGAAACGTGAAAGATTAATAAAACAAGAGGACACAAAAGAAAAGGAGCCTCCTAAAGAACGTAATCAAAAAGTCATTATTTTTTGTTGCAATTAAAAATAATCGGTTATTTATAAGCAATATATATCGAGAAGATGAATTCTTTTTTTTAACTCATGATGGCGCAGTATTTAATTAAATGTTACGCAGTCATAGAGAGAATTGCATAAATCGTCAAATGCGCTTATTGGGATTATCAGAGAATTACAATAAGCGTTTTATTCAAACGGCATATTTGCTATCATGATGCACGGCAAATTGAGCGAATGGGATAAAATAATTGCTAATTAAGACTAACTCACACTAATAAAATGCATCTTTTAAAAATTAAAACTGAGGCTGTGTTCCAAAATTTACTGCCAGTACTAAAAATCTATAGTGCACGTGACGTAAATTATAAATTTTCAATATTGGCAGTAAATTTTGAAACACAGCTTAAGCTGTAGTAATATAAATGGCGCATCTATCAAATGTCAGCTTATCAGAAAAGTAACATTTACCGTTCAAAAGTAAAATAAAACTTCTCATTTTAGAGCTAATCTGCATCTGAAAAGTTATTTGAAGATTCAAAAATAATTAATACATCCGATGAAAACATACATATTTATTATTAAAAATAAATAGAAATAAGATATATAGTATCTATCGGTCATATTGAGATATCGATTTTATCGGAATGGAAAATATTCTTAATCCAAGATAGCAAGATTACGCGTAAATCTACGAGTATAGGAGACGCAACGATACGCCAACGAGAACGCAGTGAATCAAGTTTAATATTAAAAAGACGATAACGATAAGCGACAATATATTGATAAAATATTTGTTAAGTTTTCTCAATAGACATCTTAATGATTCATTCAGAAGCTGCGTTGGTATCGCGTAGCTTTTAATGCAAAAGCACAGCGCGATAAATAAAATTTTTACATAAAATGCATTTGAAAATTTGCATATTTCAGCATTTGGTATTATCGTGTTATACTGCGTGTGAAAAGTATCTTAATCGATGTTATTTTATAAAAAAAAAAAGAGAAGGTGCAGATCAATGTCGGAAACGTTCGGCAAAGATGCCTCAGTTGCACGTAGCGTGTTTTACAGTTCATATATATAGAAAGTATCTTACATTTTACATGCGCAATTTTACGACCAACTCCTGCATTTCGTAGACATGTGGTCACCTTTGTCGATACATGAAACGGTTTTCCCCGACTACATCGTGACTTTTCGTAGTAAAATAACCACGACAAAGTGTTAGCTTCTCAAGAATAAGGAGTAAATATACACAGAGAGAATTTTTTCTTAGCGTTTACCCTGAAAATATGATAGTCGTGGGACAACATTGTATTTTGAAAAATTTTAATGTAAACCTCATTCATTAATAAAACCACAATAAAGTATAAAATAAGTTTGAAGTTTGATTAATTTTACTGAAGCGTATGGCAAAATCTTTAAAATATTGTATTGTATCATAACTACCATATTTTCAGAATAAATCTTAAAAGAAAATTTTCTCCGTGTATAAATTAAATACAAAGAATAATAATGGACAATTTTGTCCTCCATAAACAATTCTAAATTTAATTAAAATAAGATAAGCACTATTTTCTCTTTTAATTCACACTAAAAAACATTTTTGAATAAATATTTGTTTAAATAGTATTAATTTTAGATATTTACTAAATGTGAACACATATTTATATTCAATGCAAGAACCATTCGATTTATTTCCCTGGTGGAAAAATGTTACGAAAATCTACATAAATTGAGACAAGATCTTAGAAATTCTTAGTTATTTAAAGATATTCGTAGTGGAACGTAAAGTGGCGTTGTTTGTTTGAAAAATCAAAAAATCCTTCGCCCTCAAACAACAATGCTGTATGTCCTGTTACGAATATCTACTAGAAAAAACTAGAAATTTCTAAATCAAACAAACCTCACTCTACATCCTACAATATAAATATCTAGGAAAATTTAAAGAATTTCTGAAATCTTGTCTCAATCTATGTAGTTTTTCTATACTTTTTTGTAAATATTTTTTTTCCACCAGGGCTTTTTTTATTGAGTAAACATTTATCTATTGTAAGTAAATGTCAAATTACTGTGACAAATATGTATTAAAATTTAGTAAATTTTTTTCCCAGCTTAATAAAAGATTGGTATCTCACACATTATTATAGAAATAACTTTATCAAGACTGAAAAGTAATATATTAATGAAATAAGGATGATGAAGAGACTTAATATTTCACGATGATCGATGGACCATGTCTCTGAAGGGCAGCATGATGCAGTTTCTTACGTGGCATATTTTTAGAAATAATTCGATCGGACATCTCTCCTTGGCATAAAATAATCACAAATCTAATCTAATATAGGTCGTATCGTAGGATGTACGAAACTCAACCGTTCGCAGGTTGAGTTCAATTCGAGAATCGTGTAGAAAAATGCGCGTGAGAAGATAGGATGACGGAAAAGAGACATCAATCAAATTTCTTGCGATTATTTAACTATGTTATTATTTAACTACAGTATGCAAAGTTTGTGGTTGCAAAGAAAAGGACTCTCATTTTAATGCTCGTAAAAAAGCGCTAAATTAAATTAACAATTAAATGACTAATTAGTTAACATGATCATTTCTGTATACTATTAAATAAATTTTATTATTTAATAAAAATAATAAAAATATTATTTCTATATATTATTAAATACATAATTAATCTAATCTAATACATATATATAGATATAATTAACCGTAAAATAATTTTCATAAAGATAAAGCGGTGAACGCAATTAATGCGTATCTTCACAAAATTCGAAAGAACCCGTACGGATTCATGTTTTATTTTTCGTATGCAACGATCACTACCGAATCCCGATATCATTATAACCTCGTAGTTTGGAAGTCAATCCGTCGATAGATTAGATAAATTGAAGTCTTACCAAGATTATCGGAAGGATGTGTTGACCATGATTAAAGTTATCTTGACAAAATTTTCTCACGAGTGAAGATTCATATCTTCTGAAAACAGTGTGATAATTAAAACACGTGTCGATTGCAATTAAATGATGCAATGGAATTTTTGTATCACTTTCATTCCGCCGAAAGGAGAGAATGTAATTGCATATATTTAATACTGATTATTCGAAAGCTTCTGATCGAGCATCTGAAGGAAAATTACCCGGACTGGATAAAGAATACATTTAATTTAATTATCGTGTGACATATCTAGGTGCTTCCATTGAAGGTATTGACGCATCATCGTTAATCGTCAAGATAACTTTAATCGAAAGGAACTTTATCGCTTATTCATACAATTGAAGAATTACTGAACGTAGATGCGTCCGAATAAATATAAAAGGTGGTATTTTAATAAAAATTTAGATGGGATTGTTGATATTATTTCTACGATATATAAGAAACTAGAGGAGAACTTTTCGCATCCGAACTGCATTTCACCTTCGCCCCGTCGCCTTTTTGTTTTCGAACCAATAATAATTACACTGTGAAACATAAAATTTTTACCGCATCGAACGTCTCATATCAATCTCTCTATATGACGTGCGGTTTCTATCTAATCGAACGAAAAGACGGACAGAAGAAAAAAAAACAGAAAGGAAAAGATATGGATTATTTAAAGTGTACAGTCCCGCAAGAATTCGCGTAGATATTGGCACATGTGGTGGTCAACCGGCCTCTCGATACGGATGAATATTTATGAATATCGAATCACCGAAGGAGTTTCGACGAAACTCCGTTTTGGGGTCGCAGAAGAGTCCTCCGTGACCCAGACGGACGGCGCCATATTTCCGATCGTTCAAAATCGGCGCGCCTAGCAGACGGCGGACGGCGCCGGTACGCGCGACATTTCGTACGCGCGAAAAAATAAGGGACAAGAAAACAGTCGAGTCGAGGTCGACACTCACCATTTGGGGGTTGGGACGGCTCTGTCGAGATCCCTGATACTCCTGCAGCTGAACGGTCTCGTATCGTCGCTTTTTCTTCAGATGCGAGCGGGAACGTCTCACGACTGTTATCACCACAGCTGGGCCCATCCGGCCATCTTGCCATATATCACAACGTGTACTACGTCGCGCTGGCGTATTACGCTGTCGTCGAGTCCCCCATCACCCTCTTTTTCGTCGCGACGCGACGACGGCGATTGCGTAACGTTTGTACTCTCCTTGTCGCTCCCGCCGATCGTCGTACTTTCTCTTTTTCTCTCACTCCTTCTCCCGATCTCTTATCCGACGAGTCACGTCGTTTAAATGGGATTAAAGTTCGTGTTGTGATCGCGGATGACGCTACTGCACGGGAGAATGCAAATGAAAAGTAATCTTCGAACGGGAAGAATGAAATCCGTGACTTTGAATTATTTGACAATGAATTAATGACAATGAGCTTGACTAGCCGGAAGACCGGGATTCGATTTTTAATTCAATTATTTGATGAAAATATGTTCATAGATCGTAAGATTGAAATATTGCAACTTTTGGTTTAAAATAAATCAATCGCATTTTCATCAAAAAATCATTCTATTAAATTATATAGTACATATTTAAAGATTAATTTATTTAATTAGTATAAAACAGATAAGAGATGGTAAAAAGATATTGTTTACTAACAATTATTTACAATGTGATATATGACACAATATTTACAATATCTTCCTAAAATAGAAAAAATAGTTAATTGCTACTGCCAAACCAATCTGATCCCATAGCACCGAAAAACGCGGCTGCTCCGGATTTTATTGCACTGGTAGGCTCATTTTTCGCGTGCTCTTTCGTTATTTTCTTGCGCTGTAAATAAATGCATATTTTAATATGAAAGATAATTATTTTTAGTACATATTCTAAAAAATTGTGTTAGTATCACACGTGATCTCGCAAAAGTAGAAGAATTATATCTTATAATATAATTAAACTAAAAAAAAATAATTAAATTAAAAACACTTATTAAATTACGTTAAAAATCTAGCTGTAATTGTTATTCTAATTGCATTTATATTATATCTAATTATGATTATATTTCTCTTAACAAATTTTATGTAATGTAACATGATCGATTTAAATCCATTAAAGTTTTTTTTTTAATCCTTTCATTCCTTTTAAAATAAAAATAACGAGCAACGTAATTAGCAATGTAAAAAATTAATTATATAATTTATTAGTTGCGTTAATGCAAAATCACGTCATGCAAGATCGCTTTACCGGCTTACCAAATGTATACATCGTGATATTTTTATCTTTTTCAAAGGGCAAAATCTATGAATAGGTATATATATTTATTAAGAAAAAAATTAACAAATGTGCTATTTTAACTTGAGTGCTTTCCATTTGATGACACAAGTTGACACAAATCGACACAAGCGTCATTCTATCTTTCTTGAAAGATTGACAAAAAATAGAACGAACACTTTGTCAACTTGTGTAATCAAATGGAAAGCACCCAATTTTAATTATAAAAGTATTCGATACATACTTGCGTTTTATCGGGTACTGGCATTGACAAAATTGGCAAATTTCTTGTTGGAGCGGTTACGGTTAAAGGCGGGAACCATGGTGCTCCTGTACAAACTGCAAGTACTGCAGGCGGTTCGGTCCTCTCATTGCTCATGTGTTCATTACGTGCACCCAATATCGAATGTAATTGTTCCAAATGACTGACCAAGTTTCCAAATATCAACTAAAAAATTAGATGTTATAAACGTCATCGCTATTATAAATTTCCTAGCATTAATATAGTACTAACCAAAGATCTTTGAACAGATTTTTTAACGTTAGTGTGGATAAACGGATTAAAAACATCATAATCAAATGGGTCTATTTTCGCAAGCACTGCATCACATGTTTTTGTTGATAATTCATTAAGAATTTTGTTTTCATGGGGCACCATGAGCAATGTACAATATCTTATATCATACAATACTTGAAACGCTTGCTTTTGTCTAAGGTCTATATTTTTAGATGCATTGAGATAATAATTGAATAATTCTGTAATAATACTTTCGATAATTTGCTGTAGTACTCTCCTAAAATTGAAAAAAAAAAAACAGAATGTATCATGATAAATAAACTATCTCAATTTACCGATGATGTTACATTATTTACTTACTTTGGAAGCGTGTGAGGTATAATCTTATTTAAATCTTTGCAAATGGCGGTCAAGAATTTTTGCAATGGTATCGATGGTTGATAAGGTATTAAAATTTCAGACTTTATTCGTTTTCCCTCTCCGGATTCTTCCTCGATGGTAACTTTCTCCCATTCCGAAACGATCCAGTGAACACGCAGCCCATCAATTGGCTCTTTTAATATATATTTCTTCATATGTTCAGATATTTTAACTTTATATATGTTAGCCCAAATGAACCACATGCAAGTACTTTCTTCCTTTAAATTGTCACAAACAGCTTGCCACTTGACATTTGTAATGGTAAGTCCGGATACTTTCGACGATGTGAAACACTTATTTAAATTCGAACACAGAGTAGTTAACGCAAAGAGAAATCTTGCTAAAACTATAGCGTTTATATCACTTTGACCATGTTTGGGTTTATCATTAACGCATGTGTTCTTTATAAACTGTACAAGATCTTCGATTTTTTCTGTGCTGATTACTTGCAAATGTTCTTGAACTTCATTACGATCGGAGAATGAATTCGCTATTAGAGATATGTTCACCGAAAGTAAACTATCTTTTATTGTTATTACTCGTTCAGTCTCGTATAAATAATGTTCAAGATCGGATAATAGTGCATATAGATTTTCATCAAATTTTTCGCATAATTTTATCACATTTGGGGAATATCCTTTAGCCTTCATTAATAAGGACCTTTTGTTATCTAAACCACCATTCTTTGTAAGCTTCTGCGGAATGTCGGTAGGGGAATCTTTCCACACAAACCATCGTAAATCGTGTTCCGGAAATTCAAATTTATCATGCGCTATCTTATCGAGTAATTCTGTTATATCGGATTTTAAATCGGCCAGCGCATCCGTCCATTTATTCGTTATAATACCTATTAACAGATCATTATTAATTATTAAAGTAAGTGAGGAATCTTTACCTTTGTATATAGATATAATTATTACACACATTTTGCTCGTCTAGTTATAATAGGTTGGAAGAATTCTATCCAGAAACTTATTCTCGGTAATGAAAGCTCCTCCCATATTGAATTCCAATTTTCTGGTAGATTTATACTGATAGCTTCTTCCCGAATATTATATAGGCCTTTAATAGAAACTATTAAATCCAATAATTTAGTGATCTCGAGATTAGAAAAATTATTCACCCACTCCAACCAAGATTTAACACTATTTTGAAGTGCTGATAAAGAAAAAGTTTTTGGTATATCCTGAACAAATGGTTTGTGATGTTTGGTAACGGATGGTAGAAATTCTTGGAGTAAATCTTGATCTAAATCTAGCTGTGACAGTAAAGAATATGCTTCTTGATCTTTTATGTCTGCTACAAACTGTAAGACCAAGCCTCCGGGTGCATTATCTGCATCTATAATCACATGTAAGATACAAAATAAAATTTTCCGTTTACTGCATTCAGATCGTAAGATAAATAAAATACTTACTTATAAAGCATGAATATATTAAATGAACAGTTTGTATAAGTATTTTCATACACGATTTGAGCTTATTTTTAACACTGTCGTGACCTTCTCCTTTAATGACAGATTCAATAGCCATACATCTTGTGGATATTAATTTTTCTAAAAGATCCGCAAATGACGATTCATTTAAAAATACCAGAGATGCCAAGCAGTTTGCAGCGTTCTACATAGGGAATGTATCGTCAGTAAATAATAATTAAATATCACAAAATAAGCAACAATTTGTATACCAACTATGGTTGAAACATCCAACGATTGCAATATTTTGTTGCATTCATTAGATATAATATTCTTAAATTGCATGATAACATCCCATTGCTTTGAAACAATTGGATATCTTCGTGACAACTCGGTGCTGCCGACTTCGAACATTAGACTGTAATTTATATGTTGTGCTATTATATATAATTGCGTAGCAAATAACAAATTCTGATTCTCGATGCTCGCCCAAATGTATTGTGGAATATCCATTAGAATTTTGATTTGGATGATAACGGAATCAAAAATATATCCTCTTCTGAAAAATTACAGCTTAGTTTCAAATATTTATAAACATTGCATTCGAATGATATATGCAATATTTGAAAAAAATACTTGTCCAGCTTATCTTCAATCGGCTCTGTCTTGAAACCGATAAGATATTTTTTTTGCAATTCCCTAAATTTATCCTCTATGTTAATTATTCTCGAGGTAATTTTCTCAGACGTTATCTTCATTTTTCCAATTGTGTCAGCAGCTAATATTAAATCCCGATATCTTTCCCTGAAAATCATTAATATAAAAACTGATGCTTCTTAAAGATTTGATGTAAGTAATCCCTCGAATAATACATTTAGAATAATACACCTTCTTGTAAATTTAAAGATAAACTTTGATAGTATGTAAAGAGGATAGTATTTTAATAATTAAAAAAAAAACAAGTTAAACTACGTGAACGAGCCTTACCCAACTAACGTCCGTAATTCTAATTTTTTCCTATCACTTTCCAGTTGAATCTTCTTCTGAATCTCTTCGATTTCTTTAATGGTATGCTGCTCAAACAGCTTATTTATATCCAAATCCAAGTAATTCGTCGTTGTCATATTTCTAACGTTTCGTGCACAATCTTTCTGGAATCAAGAACGCTCTAGAACAAATAACAAGATTCCACGTAGCTCGTAAGTCGTAGGTTAGAATAAAATCGCAGATAAGCAAGGTTAGTCCGTTCATCAACTGTTTTATCGTGCATCGATACCGTCGCGCTTCGTTGAAACGTCATCCGGAAAATTTCCGTTAGTCGGCGCCGCACCTGTGTTCGCTCGCTGCACCTGCGGATCTCCTTCTGGGAGTTACGTGCTCCGAAAAATGCTTATCTGGGGAAGGCTCGTCCCTAACATCGAGTACAGCTAACCAAGTCAACGAGGCACCGTCGAGGACGGTGAATTCCGAGTTCTCGTGCTCGGCAGGCGGTGCAACGGAGCATCATCGAGGAACTTTCTGGCCGTAATCCGACGATCGGATCGCGCGCACCGTGGACAAGAAACCACAAGAAACGCCGAAGGGTACAGGGTGCGTTATTGGTATGCGGCGGCTCTTTGTCGCCGTGGGAACTCCGACGGATCTGTCTCCGTTGTCTCGCGTCGTGTCGCGTGTTCTGGACGTCTCGAGGAAGGTTATGTCGTCGGCGTAGCGTCGCACGATCCTACACCCGGCTGCTGCCCGGGGGGCGCCTTTCGCTCCGGTCGGGAAACGCGAGCGGTGATTGCGAGCGATGAAATTTTTCATCGCCCGGTGACATTCCCCTCCCCCGCGTGGCGACAGCACAGGTGTGTCCTCGGTCTACGGATGTGTGTGCAGACGCCCCACTATCTATCCCGCGCCAGCCACCGACGTCGAGCAGCTCTCCGGTTTCCCAGCGGTTTCCCAGCGTCGGCGAGACGGTAGCGGTGATGCGAGCTACCGGGCCAAAAACGACCTAATCGGGACCTGATGACTGTCGACAACACGGGTGAGCATGATACCTCCTGATACCTCCTTGATTCGCACCGCGCCTTCGTACCGTCTTATCTCGACCGACGGACAAATGGCAAAGTTGAGTCGCGCGCTCCGCAAGGCGCAACTTTCTTCTCTCCCTTTTTTTCTTTTTCTGGAATTAGCACATTCGTGCAAAGACTCGCGCCGTGTTGCTATTTTAGCGCTCGCTGCGAAGAATCAACGTTCGCCGAGAACGGAAACTCGTTTCGAGTTGAATTATATTCAAACGAATTACCTTGGAGTTTAATGTTTCTCCTTCTCTGGGTAATGTCCTAAAAAAGAGTTGCGAAGGTGTTACGCAGTAAATTATTTCATGACAAAATGTGTATTTTTTGGTTACAATATATTAATATGGTTAATCAAGTTGTCGAATAAAAAGTCCGTTCTTTTCGAAGAATGTCCTGGACTACACTGGTGAAATAAGTTAGAGTGAAAACAAATATAGAGTGCTTTCCATTTAGTGACATAAATCAACACAAAATCGTTCTATCTTTCTTGACATTCGATGAGTAACAAAAATGGAACGACATTTGTGTCGACTTGTCATCAAATGGAAAGTACTCATAATTTGCTTCACTTCAACTTATTGTATCAATATACACCAGTTCAAAACATTAAACATTTAAAAAAGACTAGATCGTATTACTGTATAAAAAGGATTACAATTTCTATAATTTTATTCTCCAAGTCGGAAAGAGATAATCTTGTTATGTTTAATATATTTTGAATGCAGATTACCACAAGGCAAAAAGGATGAGTACCTCACTAACGTCACTTCAGCCAAATAGTCAAAGCTTAGAAAGGCAGAAACATGTTAGAATCACGACGGAAAGACTGTATAACAGTCTTACCAAGAAAAGGTTTGCTTCTATTAATTATTTATAGTCACTAGTATTAGTCATACAATAGATCTCTCATTAATCATGCTTCTTTTATTTGACTTATTGTTAGCTAACATATTTATTCAACTTGTATGCATTTCTAGGAAAGATCCAAAGCAAACAAATGTTCAAAGAATGTGGATAAACTACGAAGACTGCAAAGATGACTTTTGGGCAGCTATAAGATCTAATTATGATTATATTATGGATACTAATTTAATCGATACTTGCAAGGTAGGTTTGAAATGTCTTTTAAGTCTTTTTCATGCACAGAGATGTAAATGTTGTACAATTTTATTTTAAATTTAAGGAAGCAAATGGTGAATTGACATGGGACGAAACAGACGTGTCGACGCAATCATGGAACTTGAAGGAAGTCAGCAATCAATTTTCAGAGCTTTACTCGTGGTTAAGAATTCTTCAAGAATTGGTCTATTCTAAAGAAGAAAATCTTTTAGACAAAAGCCTGCGTGCAGTACGTATCAGTGAATCTATATGATATATTCGAAATATGACAAAAATAAATCTCTAAATATAAAATTAATATGTCTTAAAATAATGTTAAAAATTGAATTAATCAGGCTCATATGGAAGAGCTACGACGCAAGGCGTATAGACGTAAATTATTCAATGAGCAAGCGGAAAAGTTAATTTCTCGCGCCCCTGCTTTAAAAGATGAAGTGGCGTGGCGTGTAGATCACTTGAATGCAAAATGGGAACTAGTTGAGCAAATTATGGCGCCCATAGACCAACCAGTATCTAGTCAACAAGATATATCAGCAGGTAATGGGTTGTTGCCCCTTGAAAAATTGTACCTTTCGTATGGTTTGTTAATGTAAACGTAATCGATCTGTTCCAACAGATTTCGAACGCGAAGTGAAATGTCTAAGAAAATGGTTACGAGAAATGGAGTCACGTCTTCAACCTTTGAGCTTCCACATCAACTGGACTTTGCCAGAACTGGAGGACAAAGCGGTAGAGCACATGGTAAGTGACGTGTTGTTTTCTATTGTTAGATTTACGTAACAATAAAGTAATTATCAGTATTTTCTTATCTTTCTCATTCGTTGGCAAATTTCGCCATGTGGTGTACTTTACAGATGACACCAGATGTTCCTTTGAGTCTCCCTTTTATTTACTTTATTATATTTTACTGTGGGAAAGTATCCACTTGTAGAAAAAAAAACGCATCTATAAAAAACTTAACGTATGCTCCAATATGTTTGGTTTTCCATTAGAATTAAATAATAAACAAAGAAGAAGCCCAATTGATATTCCGAAATTTCCGAAATTTCTTTAAATAGTATTCGTAGATCCAAGATATTTTAAATTAATACATTTTTGCTTAAAATTAATATAATTGAACGATTTTTTTATTTTGTTACGTAATCTTATTTCTCGAATATTGACCTTCAAAATAAACAAATCGGAACGATTGGAAAAAATGTCTTAGCTCATTGGACCCACAAATATGTATTAGGATGAAAGATTTCTTGTAAATTTCTACAGAAGAAGGTGAATGTCTTTAGAGTTAAAGCTCAGATAATTTTATGCATGCGCTTGTTCTTGTCTTCCTGTTTTTTTATAAGTAAATTGGATAGCGTAAAATGCACAAAGCGGAACGGAGTATAAATCTGCGGATAAATTAGCTCCAGCCGAAGCAACCCATTTATTAACCGATTTAATTGTTAATGACGAAACGGGAATGCTAGGGAAGCGGCACGATTCGGCGGAATACGTGCTAAGAATAATGCCGCATTGGTCTAGCACGTGCGTACCGGATTGAATTTTCGTTGGCTAAGAACCGAACGACGCAACAGCTAAGAGGAACGGATGTGATGGTACCCTAGGTAGAGTGGGGAGCAAACAGTCGGCGTGTATACCCCACGTTGTTGTTTTGTTCCGGGCTCCGATCTTTCCCGAAGGCTTACGTTCGGACGCAAACGACGCGCTTCGTTGCTTTGGAGAGACTAGCAGCTGCCTGCCGGCTGCACGAGTCGACAGAGTTCGCCGTTCCACGGTCGCCGCCGGTGGACGGGCACGTTACAACGAACACGTTGATCCAAGGTTCCCTTCCTCCTTGTCCTCTCTTCTTTCTTCCTTTCCCCTCCACATTCATCGCCCTGTTCTCATCGCGTTTCTTTCTCTCTCCCTCTCCCTCTCTCTCTCTCTCTCTTCCTCACCATCTCTTTCCGTTTGTCTAGTTCTCATCCCTCTTTTTTCTGGAGCATCGCTATATTTAAACGCAAATGGTGCGCGTCTCTTGTGTTTGATTTGTGATCGCGGCACATCACGTAGCTTTGTGCAACGCGTGGGTCAGCTTTTGATACCACCGGCATCTTATACCGGCATCAGTATTCTTTCCGTTTATCGTAAAGCGGGGCTTCTTTCTGGAAGAATCCATGGTCACTCACGTAATCTCCAGCATCGTGGGTATATCGTGGGTCAGCCAGACGAGTCTCTTCTTCCTACGGGTCTAACCGGCCGCCGTACGGGCTCTCTTCCCCTTCTTCCTTCGCCTCCTACTCGTTTTTCCATCCGTCCGTCCATCCTATCTAACCGAGACCCGAGACATACCACGGCAAGCACACACACTCGCAGCTCAAACTTCTTCGCGCGGTCCATTCGACGTGGTTTCTCCGTCGCCGTCGATTGCCGCGAACGAACCCTGGCCCTGGCCTGACCCCGCTCGGCGCGGCGTGGTAAAGGAGTCATTCATGCATCGTAACGAGCACGAGTGCAAGGAAACCGGCGCGAGGAGGAAGCGGGGAACCGGAGGTCTGAGGCGTTTGAAAAAAACCAAACCGTCGTCTCGTCGTCTCGTCGTCTCGTCGTCAGTCTGTACCGGCTGTGAAGAAAAAAAGAAAGAAGATGCGCTTCGTTACCGAAGCTTGTGAGTGGTTGTAGTGCTACAGCATGGATGCTCGGTCTCGATGCTTCTCGATTCTTCGTAGTTCCTCTTCTTGTGGATACGCGTGCTCTCGCACACATCCTCGCTTTCGCGCTGACGTAGATACAATGGTGC